AACATTAAATTTTATTCCCATGTGACCAAAATTTTTTGTTAATTTGGGAGTTTATAGGTTATAGATGCCCTCAATGATCGAAGTTTTACTAACAAGTGGGTTTTCTGCGCAAAACAATACACATACACACGCGTAATTTTTTTTTGTGGGAGAAGGGGTTTGGGGGAAGCACTCCTTTGGATGTAATTCCTTGTGGTCAATCTCTCATCCCAAAGACTCGTTCTTAAATGTCCGTTAAATCGTTGTCCTGGGGTTTATATTCTCCCAATTAGGACTCCCATGATGTCAAGTGCACATGTGTGTGTAGCCTCTAAGACATCAACCTCAAACATTCAAAATAAAGTGTTGAAGATAACCCAACTTTGACGAAACTGTCAAAGGCTAAAATGCATCTCATTGAATAGCTGAGTTATAAAGTTTAAATTTTCACACAGTTGCAATGCTGAAAATAGCTAAAGACAACGGTTACGGTGGGAGGGAAACGCGTGATAAATTGATCTATTTATTGGATTTCCCCCACCGTGGAATAAGCGTATAAATAGATTTTGTTATTCGCAGGCTACTTAATTTCTTGCTTTCAGAAATGAGAGATTAGTGAGCAACTTGATGTTAAACAATTAGCTGTGTCCGTGAAGTCCACTACTAACCCAGGCCTTGGTATATCTTCTCCATGCACCTAATCCATGCTGGACTAGACCGGCGTCAATCATTAGAGACCTTTAGTTTGACGTTTACGGCAAACGCCAAACCGCAAACAATGTTAGTGTTTTAACTCCACTCTCTTTAAGTTTGCGGCAATTTCGCTAAATTACAAACGTTCTGCATAAAACTTATGATGTTCAGCAGTAATGTAAGAAAGCAATAGGCTATTACTGATGTATTTAGAAAAGCAGCAAATTCAGCTTTGCCGTATGTGTTTCACGTTCGCCGTATAAAATTTAATGCTTGAACGACTGCATACACCCTCAGACGTTCAAGCATTAAATTTTATACGGCGAACGTGAAACACATACGGCAAAGCTGAATTTGCTGCTTTTCTAAATACATCAGAAATAGCCTATTGCTTTCTTACCTTCCTGCCGAACATCACAAGTTTTATGTAGAACGTTTGTAACTTAGCGAAATTGCTGCACACTTAAAGAGAGTGGAGTTAAAAAACAAACTTTGCTAGCGGTTTGGCGTTTGCCGTGCATGCGGGTTGAATATTCCATTCCGGTTGAATAAATAATGGGTTACTCGCACCACCGCTAATAATCGTTTGCTAATATTAAATTTTTAAAAAAGATGAGGTTTTCTTAGGCGAGGTGACCCGCGGATAGTTTCCTCAAAATTTCGTATATGAATTCCTGTTTTATGTCTTTCGATGTTGTTTAAAAACGTGGAAACTTCAGGCTAGTGTTGTGCAAGCATCGGTGATTATTAGGAGTAGATTTTGATGCTTTTTTTAGGTAATTTCGCGGATGATTAATTTTTACATTTAAAAACCAAAACTGTAATGTTTTAAGCACGCGCGCAAGTATCACACGCGCAGTCAAAGTCTGGGCTGCCTATGTCTGTACTTGAAGATTTATTGAAATTTTAACAGTTTACTAAGCTGGTAGGGTCTATAAACCCCTGTAGCAAACGAATGATATCACCTTCAAAGTTGTGACTATATTTTGTACGAAATGATGAAAATATTGGCTTTCGACGCTTTGCCATTGAGTTATTCCATAATATAAACTTATAGTTATAGCTAATCCAGGCCCAGGATATTATTTTCTGTGTTTAAAATGGCGAGGGGTGCTGCATTTCATGTATTGCTAATCATAAAATAAAACAATTATTGTTTTTATCAATATAATTTACTGATGTGTTTTGAGGTGCTTTTGTTAAATAATATATAAATTAACACACATGCATCTTTGCATTAACACATTTTTTGCTAAAAAGGAACAGTAATATATTCATTTATAAGCAGCTGCCAGTGTCAGAGTTTAAATATTTGTTCACATACAGCACTTGAGACAAGTGAAATGAATAAAATTATTTTTTATTGCCGTATATTGTGAAGAGAAATTCAAAATAAAGTGTTGAAGATAACCCAATCTTTGACATAACTGTCACAGGCTAAAATGCATCCCATTGAATGGCTGACTGAACTCAACTGAACTGAACTGAACTTTATTTATCCACGGTGGATTCATCCGGGTTACAAATTGTAGCTACATGCATTAAACTATAAATATATACACACTAAAATATATAATACAAATACAAATGAACCTGTTTTCCATGAATGCCGTGTTTATCGAATATAACGTTTCAACAATTTTAAATTCATTTAGGGACTCTACTTGTCTGATATTAGTAGGTAGGCTGTTCCACAAGACCGCGCCACTATATTTAAAGTTGTTAATAAGATAATTGGTGCGGGGTAATGGAACAGCAAGCTTGTTCACAGAGTCTCAGTCTGAGTGAATATTTAGTTACATCGTTACGATTTATAAATTTGGAATGTAAATATTCCGGAGTGAGACCGTGTGTAGACTTATAAACCATCAACGCTTTCTGAATTTGGCGTTGCGTATTTAATAGATTGTCCCATCCTAAAATTTCCATTATATGTCCTGCATCCGCGTCAAATTTAAAAATACTCGAGCTGCTCGGTTTTGTAGTTTCTGGAGTTGATTGGCTAAGGTCTTTCCACAGTTCCCCCATACGACGTTACAATAGTCAAAGTGAGGTTGTATTAGAGCTTGATAGATAAATTATAATGTTTCTGATGAAACAACAGACCTCAAACGCTTAAAACGCCGATACCAGAAGCTACTTTTTTAGTTATTTTTGTCGATATGGTAACACCAAGTTAGATTCTCTTCAATTAAGACACCAAGAGATTTTGTTTTAAAGAGTCTTTCGATTGAAACGCTATTAAATTTTAAATTTTGACTTATGCAATTTTCACGCAGTTGCCATGATGAAAATAACTCACTCGAAATGTAAACACAAGCGGGACAAAGAACCAAACAATGAATATTTTATTCATTTCGTGCGAGAAGATAGAAAAGAATAGAAATAACGTCCAAAAACCACTTTTTGTGGATTTGCTCGCAATGAATATTTGAATGCGAGCTTATACAGTTTAAACGTTTGACAATATAAATTATATGCATGAGACTATTCATGAGACTATTCGAGTCATCACGTTCAGCAATTGTTGCCATAACAACGTAAATATTGCGTACTACATAATTTGTTACTAGCTTAATCAAAGAACATTTTGCTACATTATCGGGGATATAACATTCAGTTTCAACAAAAGATTGTATTAGCAATATTTCTTTTTACCCAATCGAAAAACGCTGTTTGGAGTTGATTTTGAAAACGACTTGTTTTAAACTTTACAACCCTTGAACTTGTTTTACTGCTGATTTGAATTTCCCTTTCTCAACATTACCTTTTTAGCAAAGCCCCCTCCAGACGTACTTATAATATTCAATTACGCAGACTTTACCGTTTACGTTAACGGAAAACGATGTCCGGTATAAAAAGTTATTCGCGCCGGTTAATCTCAAGTCGAAGTTTAAAAAAAGCAGAAAGCACTTCCTAACATGCAATAACTTATATAACTATTTAGTTTTAAAACCGAACAAGTTATTATCGAAAACTTTTTTTCACGCTTGATGTGTACACGTTTCTCGGGGGAAACTATGAAGTTTCTAAGCTCAAACGACCAATTGTTGCTATTCTATGATGAATGTCATTTTTCAGAGTGATCTCAGGAAAGGTAGATTATGCATTTTAGTATAATACAGCGTATCCTCGTTGATTTATAAACCGTAAGAATTATCCGTTTGAGAACTTTGCTTTAGAGACAACATTCTCCTAACCGCATTATATTTAATGCTCGGCGCTATACGACTGTTCATAAACTGTCAAATAAGAGACGTTGATGCTTAGTATGCAGCTGGCACTTAAATAATTTATTTGCTGTTGAGTGTTTATAATAAGAATAAGAATAATTTATTTGTTAGTACGCATATCAGTATTTTGCTACTGTTCTAAGCAAACCAATTGTTCAAAGTCCTGAAATAATTTCCAATATATCTTATAACCAAAGTTATGTACACACGCTAAATGCCAAGAAAGTATAGCTAGCCTCTAAGACATCAACTTGACCAACCAACACACGCTAGTTGAACAGTATATAGCATTCGACTGATCTATGATTAAAAAAATTACTTAAAGCTGAGTCTATATGAGCTTGAACGTGACAATCAGAAGCGCTTTCCTCCAAGCCCTTTAAAAACTGAAGCTATTTTAGATGATGCATTGAATATTCTTCATAGTTTTAGATTATTTCATGATCACGCCGTTTAAAAATTTAGTTTGTGAAATAAGAGACCAAAGTTCGCTAGCGCCATGTGGGAAAAAATTAATAAACAAACTGTATCAATTAAGCAAACTACGTGCTCACGAGAATGATCGTCAGTCACGAGCTTGGCTCAATCATGTCGCACAATTAATCTCCATCTTGGCTAAACTGGCATTCGCAAAATATCTGGCTATTGCAGCGTCGGTTAAATATGTGTGTTATGGCGCGCTTTTGTTTAATAATAACTTTAACACACATCTTGATCTAGCTTCACCATAAAACATGTCAGTGTAAAACTTTAAAATATTTATGCACGTTGATACAGAATTAATTTTTTGAAACAAATGAAATAAATGAAATTATTTTTTATTGTCGTATATTGTAAGGCAACGTTCAAAACAAAGTGTTGAAGCTAACCCATGCAATCTTTGTCGTAACTGTCAAAGGCTAAAATGCATCTCATTGAAGCGCGTGTAAGTGGATTACGTGGCTATAACAACTTAATTGAATTTTCAAATTTTCACGAAACACAGGCAACATCATATCTCACGATCTATCATTTTCTATTGGTCTTTTCTTGGTCATAACTCGTATGAAAAATATCTTCCAGAATTACCGAGTCAGACAAGAGAAGATTTAAACGATGTCTGTAGCGGCCAGCTTGAGCTTGCTGTTGCTTCTTATCGGAAAAATTTCAGCAAACCAATGTTCCCCGACGAATTACGACACAATTATAAAAGGTGAGTATTGTCGAAAAAAGTAAGAGAAAAAATTAACCATTGAAACACCATTAAAACGTTTCATATGGTGAAATCAGTCCAGAATAAAACACATAATTTTAGTTTAAATTTGGAGATTAAAATATTTGTCTTTCAAGAATTTTGTTGAAATTTTTAGGAGGTCCATCATTGCCTGCGGATGAAATAATATCAAGACACAATGTTACATCTTCAGTTGTCATGTTAGGATGTCACACTCACTGCAAAGACGAAGACAAATGTGTTGGATTCAACTACAGAACAACAAAAAATGTTGAAAATTGTCAACTGACAAACGTTACTAGAAAGAAAGAAGAAACGAAACTGACCGGAGATTGGATATTGATGCGAAATGTTGAAGCAGTAAGATTGATAAATTAAATGATATTTAAGAAAATATAGAAAACATTTTCCGTGTTTCTATACAGTTATACAAACACGCCTGGGAGTTAGAGAGAGCGAGAAAAAATCGGTGGGAAAACAAGATAGGAAGAGCTATTTCGAGTTCTTCGCACAACTTTCTGTTCTCATTACACAAGAAAATATTGTTATTATTAAATTGTAGTAATATGTATTTTCTCTATACTGTGATTTTTAGTACCACTCTTTATAAAATCTCGTTCACTCTTATTCCCCGGTTATTGTGACCGAACATAGCGGAATCAAAAAGGTCATTGACGTTGGATGGCTTTGTTAGGTCTGCGCATGCGCAAAATTTAAATGAGTGGAAATCGTTAATCAGCAACTTTCCGATGAACTGAGTAAGAAATTGGTATTTTTTTATCAAATTGTTTTCAAAAACTTCACCAAATAAAATGGAAAAATTATTACAGATGCAATGAAAATCATCATGAAACATTTATCAAAAACAAAAAGGGTTGCTCTTCAAGAAAAAAAAGCGAAAACGGTTTTACGCTCTATATAAAGCTTTGAAATGTTTTAAACCGGTACGTTTCTATATTATTATGTAGTTGTTCATAATATTTCTGTGTTTACTGTATGAAGAGGGATGCAGTTTATTTATATGTGAGCTTTATACGTCGTTTTCCAAAGTCATATTGGGCTATGAAAGGCTTTTACACAATCGCTTTAATTTATTGTCTCGAAGATAAACATGGATTCGTGAGTCTTTAAAGACTATTAATACCGCTCGTCCTTCGGACTCGCGCTGTTTTGCAGCCTAAAAAACTCACTCGTGCTTGGTAATCCGTAATTGCACTCGATATGATACTATAACTTATGCTAATATATTAATTATTAATGTATAAAGATTAAAATCAATTTTTTATTAACTTCAGTATTTTTTGTAATCAATTTTGTGTAGGCAAAGAAGGCGGTTGAAGAAGAAAATCTTACCAGGAAATCAGGTAATTTGCTTTATATTTATCCATATCATTCGGAAAAAAACTACGAGATTTTTAATATTAACTAAATTATTTTAGTAACTATTATAATATTATGCAATGAGAAATGTTTTAAATCTTCTGTCAATATATGCGCCACATCAATGCAATACGTATCAATGAACCTCGAGCGGGACCTCTCAGTTTAATGAAGTTTTTGTTTGTGGTAGGGACTCGAACCCTAACCCTTAGCAAAAACCATGGCTATTCGCTGGCGAAGTAGAAATGTTGATCGAGCCGGAAGAAGTTGCTTGAAACATTTGTGAGAACAGTAGTCTAACTTCAAAAATAATATGAAAAATAAAATGTTTTCAGGCTGGAGAGATGCTATTACAGCGAAAATTACATTGCCTTAATTTTGAGTGGGATTCACTCAATTAAAGCCAGGATGAGATGAGGAAAGTGTGTCAAATATCGGTACTCCGCCAGGAATCAAATTAAGCTATATACGCCTTTGCGACCCCGGTGCAATCTGCAATGCTTCTGCATTAGCTACAGAGATAACTTAGAAGAACGAGCGTAGTTGGTGTGGATTAAGAATCGTAATTCCTACGAGTAGGTGACTGAATCACTGAATTAAGACTCTGGGTCCTAGTTTTGAGTGGAAATGATACACACATTTATTTCAGACGTTGACGAGTGTTCCCTGGGAACTCACAAATGTCACTCAAACGCAACATGCAATAACACCATTGGCTTCTACGAATGTCACTGTCGCAGAGGATTTGCTGGAAATGGGACAACATGTTCAGGCAAGATTATTTTAATCGACTTTTTTATATAGCTAGGGGTTCGAACCAAGTAGACAGACTCATCGATATAAGCACTTCTAGCTGTAAGTAAGGAATCTGGTACGACATTGTTCTCTCTTATGAAGTCGAGTGTACCAGCATTCTTTTGACGGATAAATTTCTTAAATGCAATTTAATGCAATGCAATGCATGGAGATAAATTATATCAAACAATGTAAGTGGTCATCGACTATTCTCCTGACAAGATGGTTTATTTCAGACGTTGACGAGTGTTCCCTGGGAACTCACAAATGTCACTCAAACGCCACCTGCAATAACACTATTGGCTCCTACGAATGTCATTGTCGCAGAGGATTTGCTGGAAATGGGAAAACATGTTCAGGCAAGATTATTATAATCGATTTTTCATATGCAACTCAAATTTGACTCATTTTTCTTAACTGTTCCCTCACTGAATTTTAGTTGTGATTTCCTCTCAAAATGAAAAGTCTCAAACCTTCTTTTTTTAATTATCCTTCATCGAGTAAAGTGCCACAAAATCAATATAATTATATTTTCCTGGGGCGTAGAAAGAATCTAAATTTTTTCTTTGTGGGGCACAAGTTTCCAGAGGAACTTTTCAGTTTATAAACAGGGCAGTTAAAATGCGTATATGCATGGGTGGTTTAGTTGCTTTAGTTTGTTTTTTCCTGAACAATTTTAAAGTTTAGGATGTATACATTTTTGAAAGCTGAACCCAAAGAAGAGACGGAACGTTAAAAGCTATTTTATTTTCATTCCCACGGAAACTAATTCAAGAGGTTTTAAACCCGTTTACAATAAATTATTATTGTATTTATTAACCACAGGCCGCTAAATTGTGATATAAATCCGTGATTTTTTAGGTCTCCACTGCGCTGATTTTTATGAAAAGGGAAAGAATAAAAGCGGCATTTATGAAATTAATCCAGATGGAAAGGGAAGTTTCAAAGTGTTTTGTGATATGACAACATCAGGTGGAGGATGGACTGTATTTCAACGTCGTCTTGATGGAAGTGTTGACTTTTACCGAGGATGGGAAGATTACAAACAAGGTTTTGGTAACTTGAGCGGAGAATATTGGCTTGGTCTTGACAAAATACACAGGATGACAAATATTTCACAAAATGAACTTCGTATCGACATGGAAGATTTCTCTGGAAACACTGCATACGCTCATTATGATTCATTTAATGTCAGCAGTGAACGTGAGAAATACAAGTTGAATGTTGGAGGGTCTCATGGTAAGCATTTTACACTAAACTGATTCATATTTTTATAAAATTATAAGATAGTCCAGCTCTCTATGCAATCAACTTTGCAGTGAACTATTAAATCCAGTATATTAAATATCGTATAAATTATAAGAATATTATCAATGAGTGATCCATAAATATAATTGAAACGAGGCAGTTTTTGTATTAACTCGAGAAACGTAAAATATCTCCATTTGGAAAATTTGCTAAACTTTTAACAAAACAAAAATCTCAGGACATTCGATTACGTGCATTAATTATTGCACTCCTATTCGTTCTATTACCATTATTTGCAGGATCCCACTGTAAAACACTATATATAGGTGATGTGGTTATCCTGGTTAAGTATAATAATAATTAATTGATTTTTTTGCATTAATTAAGGTACAGCAGGAGACTCGTTGAGCAGACATGACAGTATGGCTTTCAGCACCAAGGACTCTGACAATGATATTTGGGATAATGGTAACTGTGCGGTGAAATTCAAAGGTGCCTGGTGGTTTTATGATGGTTTTCAATCCAATTTGAATGGTTTGTATCATTATGGCAAACACACATCGTACGGTGATGGAGTCGTCTGGGACCATTGGAAAGGATATCGTTATTCTCTGAAATCAACATCGTTGAAGATACGACGACGTGAATTTGGAAAGAAGAAATAAAGATGTTGAACAATAAAAAGACATAAGGTTTACTTTACAAAAAATGTAGTGCACTAATACGTGTCTTGTTAGTTTTTCAAAATATTTAGAATAGAGATTTTTTTCCTACCATTAGCCTAACCCGTAGTTAATAGAATATACACAGTTTGGAGACTAAATAAAAGTACAATACAAGTCATTAACTATGTTATTGATCAGGTTTATGAAAAAAATGGCTCCTTTCTCGTCACGTATCTATTGTATTTTAGCGAAACTTACCAATGGCATTCGTCTTGCAAAGCTCATCAACCCGGATTTGAAAAATATGTTAATTATCGTTTAATGATGAAGAAGAGAGCAAATGCATGATTAAATTTGCGTGCATGATATGTCTACAACTGAGGAGCCTTGTCCCAGAGTTAGTCAGCGAAACCTGTTAAAATCTTTAAAATCTAAACCTAGATTAGTTTAACCAGTGTTAGCCGGGAGATTAGTAAGTTGACACACATGGTGATCGAGGTGGGTTAAATTTAGCCCATGGGTTAGCACACTAATTCGTTTCGAACAACGCAATAAATTATAACCCCACGGAATAAAATTTATCTCTAGCTTAAGCCATTTTAGTCTGCCTTTGAACAACCAGCCCGGCTGTGATGGTCAAAAGAGGTTTAAAAGAGGTTTTGGTCATAAACCATTCTCAGCACATAACTGAGGGTGGAAAGGTGTATAAAGTAGCATTCTGTGTATTTTTTGTTAAAATATTTATCTGGTTAATTATTCACCATTGCTTCAGGAGAATGTCATAATCCCGTTACCTTTGTAATTTGTCGGAAACTTTAATTACGAAATTTTCTATAGCTTTCCAAATCCCCGTTACGCCGTGCTTGAAGAAATATCTCGTGTAGTTTGTCTCGAGACGGTGAATTGTCAATGTCAGACGTGATGTTGTGTTTAAGACCCAAAGTTAACTGAATGACACCCGTGAGGACCTCAGTTTTAATATTAACATCTGTTTCAGTAAATACGGATAAAAAAACGATCTAATTTCGTAGCTAGATCACAACAGAAATGAGCAGAATCGTGTTTTTTGCATCCGCTTACAGTCATATAAGTAGATGATGACTTTTAAACCTTTATTTACGCTAAAACATAAAATGGAAAGCGATAGCTGATCGCAGAAACTAATACGCCAGTTTCAATTACCACGGCCTCGTTAGAAACGAGAAACTAAGAACGCTTTCCTTTATGTGGTGAAGAAGCTCACACCGGCCCTGTTGTATTCAGATACTGATAGATTACTGGTATTTAGAGTGTTTCAAGAACTCTGAATTCAAGTATATCGTTATTTACATCTTTCTATCACGGAAATGCAGTTTCACCCCCTATTCTTCACGAAACACTCTGTTTCAATTCAAAATATAACCGATCTCACCATAAATTTTTTAATCGATTGCAATTTCTCTATAATTATTGTTCTGTATTTATTCAGGACATTGTAAGGAGGTCAATTTGAAATGTTTTTATATGCAGGTTCCTTGGTCTCTATAAGACGCGATTCCTCATAATGTGTGCCTTAATAATCTAGTATTCAGATGAGCTCTCTTGAGCTCATGAATTAAGTTAGAAGATTGCATGGAATTTCGGAATAACATCTTGTAAATTAATATTCACACGTAACGTAACCAGATAACGAAAATCCGTCTTGACCTCGAGCAGACTACATGACAACACCAGAACCTGTTGGAAATACATTGCCGCTCTTTCCATCCTCTTTGTTAACTCATTCAGTGATGTGGGGGTAATTGCTTTGATCAAGTTTCGTTTGTAAACACTGTACGATTTTGCCATATTAATGCTCATAATTATTCGTTGTGTTACATTATTGATTTTTAAGACGCCATGCATCTACTTTTGCAGACTCGTTGAAAAATTAAATGAAAACGGTATGGCTTTCAGCACCAAGGACAATGATATTTGGAATGGTAACTAACTGTGCAGTGAAATGCAAAGCAGGCTGGCGGTATCTTCATTGTCATCAATTCAATTTGAATGTTTTTTCCTGTTATGGCCCTCACACATCCCGTGCTGATGGAGTCAACATTGGGCAGGTTATCGTTATTCTCTGAAATCAACATCGATGAAGATACGACTACGTGAATTTGGAAAGATGAAATAAGGTTGTTGAACAATAAAGAACTAAGAAGATTTAAAATAAGGTTTACCTTATAAAAAGTGCACTGCACTAACACGTAGGTTCTTAGTTTTTCCAAATATTTAAAATAGTGTAATAAATGTCGTATATTTACATACAGGAGATTCTTCCCTACGCCTAGCCAAAACCGAAGTGAAAGTTCAAAAAATAAACTAACTGTATAAAAGTGTATTTTAATTTATTCATATGAGCTAATTTTCATGACAACTATATCTTCACTTGTCACATTACATATAGTAAATAATATATATCAGCATCCCAAAAAACTCGAAATGTAAACTCAAGACGGCAAAGAAACAAACAATCAATATTTTATTTATTTCGCGCGAGGAGAATGGAAAAATTAAGATATCGTCAAAAATCCACTTTTTGTGGATTTGCTTGCAATGTATATTTGAATGCGAGCTTATACGGTCCAAACGTTTGACCATATATCTGACACTATTAATCAGCCATCACCTTCAGCAATTGTTGCCATAACAACGTAAATATTGTGTAATACATAATTTGTTACTAACTTAATCAAAGGACATTTTGCTACATCATCGGGGATATAACATTCAGTTTCAACAAAAGATTGTATGAGGAATATTTATTTTTACCCAATCAAAAATGCTGTTTGGAGTTGATTTTCAAAATTAAAAATGACTTGTTTTAGAGTTTACATCCCTTGGACTTCTAGCGCTGATTTAAATTTCCTTTTCCCAACATTATCTTTTTTGCAAAGCCCCCTCCAGACGTACTTATAATATTCAATTTTGCAGAATTTAATGTTTACGTTAACGGAAAACGATGTTCGGTAAAAAAAGTTATTCGCGCCAGTTAATCTCAAGTTGAAGTTAAAATAAAGCGGAAAGCACTTTTTAACATGCAATAACTTATGTAGCTATTTAGTTTTATTTAATTACTTTTTGCGCTTTTTTAATTGACTCAAAACCGAACAAATTAATATCGAAAACTGAATGCAAGATTACTACTCGATTTTTTTTCACGCGTGATACGTACACGTTTCTCGGGGGAAACTATGAAGTTTCTAAAGTCAAACTATATATTCATTGTTGCTATTATTTTTATGATGAATGTCATTCAAATTTTCAGAGTGATCTATGGAAATTAAGGTAGATTATACATTTTAGTATAATGGAGCGTATCCACGTTGATTTATAAACCGTAAAAACTATCCGTTTGAGAACTTTGCTTTAGAGACAACATCCTCCTTTACCGCAATATATTTAATGCTCGGCGCTATACGACTGTTCATAAACTGTCAAATAAGAGACGTTAATGCTTATTATGCAG